AAGGACAGTGCCGCGCTTACCCAGGATTTTATCCTCGGTGTCAGCGGCTGCACGCGGCAGGGTGAAGTTCCGGACGCCACCTTTCCAGATGTCCCAGCTGGAGACGGAGGCGCCATTGTGAGAGAGACGAGGGTCATTGAGCTGGGCAAGAACCGCGTCCCAGTCCGAAGCGAAGGCGGAGAATTTGGACCACGCGTACCCAACGCCAGTGGCCCGACTGCCCAATGCCAGGCTGTTTAGGATGGCAGGTAAGTCACGTAAGCCGCTACCATAATGTTCAATATCATCTACGTAGCCGGCCGCGATAACACGACGGCCACCGCTGGAGTGGTAGGCAGCTCCATCCGATGCACGAATGCCCCTGGAGAGTTCCGGAGAGGAGACGGCACCTTGCGGAAGCCCGCGCGTGACCGGCAGGGGGGACGTGAGACCCACCCGGGTGTCTAAACACACACGCGCCGGGGCAAAGAGAGCCTGGTGTAGGCGCCGCACCGCGTCGGGGAAGCCACGACCCTGCTGCATGGCATCAATGAGGGGGAGCTGGAGAGTGTTAAAAAATTTCTCAAAGTCAGCGGGGACGCGAAGGAGCGGGAGCTGGTGGCGGGAGGAATCTTCGCAGACCAGGGTGTCCATGTAGAGAACCTCAGCTGCAGCGGAAACACCCCGAACGTAGGCTCGGTTAAGAGAGCTGAACGGAAAGTCCAACGCCCAGGGGGAGCGGGACGAGCTGAGCCGGTGTACTACAGGTGCTTCGACGGCTTTGAAAGATTCTTCAAGCATGGATAGTGGTCTCCAGCCTCCAGCAGGCTTGGGGAGGTGAACCTGCTCCGCGAGGTTTAGGGAGGGGGCAAGGAAGCCTACCAAGCGCTGCACATCTAAGGCAAGCCAGTAAATCTCTTGAACCCAAGCTGGGAAAGCCAGGCCGAGAGTTGCGTAGTTTGGCGATGAGGGCCCCGCGTTCTGTAGGGGAGGTGGGACCCACTAGGTCAAACCGCGGTTCTTCCCAACATCGAGTGCAGAGCACCGCCGACGGGGGCGGCCAGCGGAAGAAGTCCGGAGTAAGGAGACGGCCTGGCATGCTGTGGCAATTGAGCACAAGACGAAGGGGGCCCAGGCAAGGGCCGGGGCGTTGCACCCACCACTCCCCGTTGAGAAAAGAGAGCACCCACTCGCCCAGCCGGAGCTGGGTCTCAGTGTGAAAGTCAACCGAGGCGGCAGTGACTTTGATGAGGCGCCACGGCCCGGGCGCAAGTAAAGTGGAACCAACAAGGTCCAGCTGGGAGCCGGGGGCGGCCCGGGCCAACGCCGGGAAGTTGATAGTGCCGCGCCGCGTGGAGGCAGGGCTGCTAAACAAACTGACCGCCTCATGGCTCCAGCTAGTCGTAGGCTCCTGAAGGAGGCGGCCCCATTCTTGCCGGGCTCCCGACAGAACATCCGAGGAGCAAGATGGTCGCCGACGCGATCCATCGGCATCAGTAACCCAAGAAGGTGAGTATCGTATGCTCGGGCCTGTTGACGGGCGCATGCGCGCTGCCCAAGCTTTGACGTCACCAGAGCGGAGAAGGAGCAAGCGCTGCTGACGGAAGGACACGAACTGGCGCTGGGAGGAAGAGGACTGGCGACTGCCGGCCTCTGCAATCCACCTAGTAAGCAGCTGTGCACACATGGCTGGGGAAGCACACGACGGGTCAGGGATGCTGTCCCAGCACACAGGATTTGGGTCGGGTACTGCGGGGGAGCCCAGCGAGGGGGCAGGGGAAAGCAACTGGGGAGCCGTGGACGCAACTGACTCCTGGAAACCAAGACCAAGTGCCCAGCGCACAGGGTCCGAGT